TGCTGTCCACGGCCCCCGTTTCTTCTCCAGGTTCCCTTTGACCCCTCCGAAGCAGGAGAGTTTCCAAAGAACTGAGTCAGCCAACAAAACCTTGCTGCTGGTTTCTCTTTGTCCCCCACCCCCGGGGGTCCTCCGACCTGACGTGACGTTTCCTCGTGCCTTCATCAAAGACTTTTGGAGTCCCTCTTCATCCTCTCTGAGCACCAGACCCGTGCCCGGCGAGGGGCACGGCGAAGCCGGCGGCTCTCGGCCGCCCTTACTTGACTTCCAGGATGGAGGGGTTGGTCTCCATGATGGCCACAATGATCCTGTCAATATAATCCTGCAGGCGAAAGTTGATCTCCTCTTGCTTCTGAATCGCTTCCATGAGCTGCAAAGGGACAGGAGGAAAGGAGTGAGGGGCTGCTCTCCCTTGCCTGGGGGCTTCCCGACCCTCTCTCGGATTTTCCTGCCTGGGGGAAAACGCTCCCAGCTGCTGGTTCTGGCTCTCTCCTCTCCTTCCTCAAGTCCCCAGCCTTCCAGGACCCTGGAGAAAGCTGCCAGCATCTCGTCTCCCTTTGCCCCCCCTAAACCCCCAGCTGGGTTTCCCCATTTCTTGGGGTCTGAAAGATTTCCTTCTGGCTGCAGCTCCACCCCAAATGCTTCACACGAAGATGATGGGAGACCACCACAGAAACTGCCTCTCTGAGGAATAAGGGGAAAATCTTTGTTCTTCTATTTGTTTATGAATGTTCTGTACAGCTGTAGGACAGAAGAGGGAATGGTTTTCTCCTCTGCATTTTGTTTCCCACCGTCCCACCACGCTGGGAATTTTGCTGCCTCTCTTTTGATCCTGTCACAGGTTTTGTGTTTCGGGAGGAGAGACGACAGACGTCAGAACAATTGCTCCTGTCTCACACCAGTAAAGCTGACACCAGTAGCTGGGGTGCAGCCCTGGAGCTGGGAGAACACGTGCTAGAGAAGCCAAGATCTCCAGGGGTGGATGTCCCAGCTCCCCGGGGGGAGGAGATGCACCAGCCACCCCGGGGAGATGGGGTGTGAGGTGAGCAGCACCCCACGGCACCTACCTCGTCTCTGGAGACAGAGCTGATCTCTGCTGCCAGGGATTCAGAGAAGGAGGCTGAGAAGAGGTTCTTGGCTCCCTGGATGCTCAAGTTAATGATCTGTCCGTTCAGTTCATCGTTCTGCTCCTTCAGGTTCCTGTTATCCTGCTCACAACAGAGAAACCAGATGGTGCTGAAGCACGTGGTGCCCTCAGGACAGAGGCTCCTACATTCCCTGGCCAGATCTGCTCCAACAGCAGCTCACCCAGCACTGGGAACAGCACATGATCTCCTGACTCAGCCTTGGCAGAGCCTGGAGAACCTCTGGAAACATGGGAGAAGCTGGGGAGCTCTGGGGGACACAGCAGAGATGGGGGTTCTGGAGGGCACACGCTGTCCTTCAGGAGAAGGAGCCAACTTCTGCCCCAGGACAGGACAGCAGGAAAGCTGTGAGCTGCCAGATCCACGCTCAGCTCCTCAGGAGGGACCTCCAGGTGCCCTCTGACCACTCTTTGGTGGCAGGGAATGAGGAGACTGAGCAGCCAGGACTCTCCCCTCCCCACCCAGCCCTGGGTACCTGCTTGAGCTGCTTGATCTCTTGCTCCAGCTCCGTCTCCCGCGTCCTGCTGTTGTACTCCTGGAGCCCCAGGCTGCTGCTCCTGCCTCTTCGCTGCTCAGCTTCCAGTTTGAAGAGCTGCAAGTGCTCCAGCTGCTTCCTGAGGTCCTCGATGAGCTGCAGCAGAGGGGGAGAGGACAACTGAGAGCTGCATCTCCTGCGAGCCCAGCAGCTCGCACTGCTCATGGCCGGGAGCAACCCCCTGGACTGCTGCAGCAGAGGATCAGACCCTTTTTTGGGGGGGCACACAGCTTCCCCACACCTCTAGCTAACAGGAGAGGGAGAGCTGCTTAAATACATGCCCTGGAAGAACTCTGTTGGAGCACCAAAGATGTTGGTTCTGGGTCTGCAGCAGCAGCTGCCCAGGCTGGAGCAAACGCTCCCACGACACCTATTTTTTGGAGGGGCTGCCAAGACCAGCTCCCCCCAACCCCCAGCTCTATTTTGGGGGACCATTCTTCTCACCTCCTGCGTGGACTCCTTCTCCTTCTGAAACTGGTGCCTCTCTTGACTCAGCTTGTCCCCCATCTTCCTCTTTTTCTCCTGCTCCTCAGTGAGCTGCACTGTGAGGTCTTCGATCTCATCCAGCAGCTTCTGCTTCTCCTGCAGTGACACAAGAGGTGACAATCTCAGGGCTCTTCCCTGAGCTCCCCCTGAACAAGGTGGGGAAGGTTCACCAAGGGCTGCACACCAAAATCCCTCTGCTGAGAGAGAGGTGGCAAGAGATGGCTGGAGAATAAATGCAGGTGGGCAAGGATCTGGGCTCGGGTGGCTTCCTGGGCAGCGTGGTGCTGGGGGGGGACTGGGGCCAGCACAGGGGCTGTGGGCTAAGAAATTGAGTTTCAGCTAAGCCAGGACCCTGAGAGCTGAAGCCACTCTAGGGATGCTCATTCTCAGTTTCAGAAAGAAAGAATTTCACTGAGGAGTGACCCAAGAAGGAACTGGACCCGTTTGAGCCAGGCTGGAAAATGTACAGCCCAGCTCTCCTCTGCTCTCTGCCTGCCTCACACCCCTGAGCCTTTACAGCAGCACCCTCCCCAGGCTCCCAGCTCCCAGCCTGGCTCTCCCTGACAGGGAGGTTTGGGCTTTTAGGAAGCTAAAAGTGCCACAGAACTCCCAACAATGCTGGTGCTGGATCACAGAACTATCAGAGTAGGAAAAGAGCTCTAAGATCAAGTCCAACCATCAACCCAACACTCCCATGACCCCTAAGCCACGTCCCCAAGTGCCACATCCACATGTTTTCTGAACCCCTCCAGGGATGGGGACCCCAACACCTCCCTGGGCAGCCTGGGCCAAGGCCCCACCCTGGGATGGCCCATGGCAGGAGGAGATGAGGAGGAGCTCCAAGGGGCAGCCTCACTGCTGGGTCTGGGTAGGGGTGGACAAAGGCTGAGGGGATGAAGGCTTTGAGGGCCTTGATGTGGGCAACAGAGGTTTGATTTCACTTAAATTTTCATCTGGTATCTCCCACAAGCTTGAACAGAAGCAAAACACAGCTTTGGTATCAGCTGTTACACCTGTAACTCACATCCTTTCCAAAAAAGGAGGATGGACACCACGAAACCTCAGCAAACCTCCCACCCTGGCCTGGAATCCTGAGCAGGGCCAGAGGGGAGAGGATGTGGGAGGTAACGTGGTGCTTTGAAGACCCAGCTCTCAATCCCAGAGGGTTTATCTGCCCTGGCAGGACGAGGAGATGAAGCACATCTGCTCCTCTTCCTCCCCTGCAGCAGACTGTCCCTGCAGGGCTGGGGCCAAGCTTCCAGCAGAGGGCACAGTGCCCTCCTGGCCAGCCAGGACAGGGCTGCCACTGCTGCCTGCTGTGGCTCCCGCCAGGCTCCTGCCACCCAGGGACCTGCACGGGCTGTGTTAGAGTCACAGAATCATGGGCTGGTTTGGGTGGGGAGGGACTAAAAGGCCACCTAGTGCAACCCCCTGCAGGGAGCAGGGACATCCCCAACTAGAGCAGGGTGCTCAGAGCCCCTGGGATGGTTCCAGGGATTCAGCATCAAAAATTTCTCCCTTCTCTCCAGTCTCAATCACTCTCTTTTAGTTTCAAACCATCACCCCTTGTCCTACCACAACAGCCCCTGCTCAAAAGTCCATCCCCATCTTTTTTCTCGGCCCCCTGGAAGCCCTGGCAGCCCCCAGCAGGTCTCCCCAGCTGGAGCCTTCTCCTCTGGGGCTGCCCCAGCCCAACTCGCTCCTGCTGGGCTCCCAGCAGAGGGTGTCCCCCCTCTGACCATTTTTGTGGCTTCCTCTGGACCCAAATTAATTAACCCTTGGGCCTGCCCAGACAGGAGCAGGGGACAGCTCTGCTCCAAGGTGAGGTCTGCAGGGGCTGGGAGGCAGAATTTGCTCTTTACATGAATGAGATCTCACAGAGGCCCTTTGTGTAAGTGAGAACTTCAGCTCCAGCCCTGTAGGAACCCCCAAACCCAGCCCCAGCTTGGGGCCCCCCTCAGCACACACTGTCCTCACCTCCTCAAGTCTTTCAATGTTGGCTTTTAGACAAGGGACACAGGATCTCAGCTCACTGTTCTCATCATCCAGCTGCTGCAGCCTGCAAAGGTGAAGGGATGGGTGAGGAATTCAAGCATCCCAAGAGAAGGAGACTTGGTTTAAACATCACTAGGACCTTTTCTTATTTAAAGGGATTTATCCTTCCAAAGCAAACCCTGAGACTTCCACTACTTCCACTCCCAGGGGAAGAAGCAGGAGGTCCAGAGGACTTCTGGCAGGTCCATTGCCATGCCCTTCTCAAACCCAGGCCCATTGCCTGGCTGGAGTCAGGGCAGGGGTTCAGAGAGGGCTTCAGCTTTGCCTTCTTCAGGTAAAGCAACACCCATTGGCCATGGTAAGGGGCCTGGGACCAACCTGGTACAAAACCCCAGCACCTTCAGCTCTCCTTTGCTGCAAACAAAGCAAAACACATGCTGGAAAAGCAGCAAAACCCCTGTCAGATCAATGAAACCTCTCCCACAGGACTTGGGCCTCATGGGGCAGCATGAAGCACCCTGCCTGGGACACTGCCTGTTGGACAACTCCTCCTTCTCAGCTATTTGCCCCTTCCCATGAAGGTGGAAAACATCTGAGCATCAGAGAGAGCTCCACAGGAACAAGCACTAACAAACCTCTTCTTCACACACAGCCAGAGGGTGGGAGCTGAAATTTCAGGTGCAGCAGGGGAATTCAACCACAAAGTCTGAGGCTAGGCTCTTGAGTTTGGAATGAAGGTAGAAATAGCCAAAACTCAGGGTTTAGAATGACTTTGGTGAGACCTTTAACCAAGCTAAACTCACTGTCTAAGGCACTTGGGCTCCCCAAAAGCTGCAGTTGCCAAGCAGCAGCCTGAACAGGTATCCAAACGTGCTCCTGTGGCTCCAGGAGACTTGTCACCTCCCAGCCCTGCCCCAGCCCCACCTGGCCTGCAGGTTCTCAATCTCGATGCTCTTCTCCCTCTCCATTTTGCTCAGCAGCTCCCTCTGCTTCTTGATCTCCTCCAGGAGTGTTTGGTCAGCTCTCAGCTCTTGCTCCTTCAGCTGTTCTTCGAGAGCATTTGCTCTGCAGAGAGGAGAGAGAGAGAGGATTAACCATCCCTGGTGGCTTGGGATCCCACCACCATCCCAAGGGAGGGGTGGGATGTCTTCTCAGCCTTTCTCCACCAGGCAGGAGAGCTGGGAAAAGCAGCCTGTAGAAGAGTGAGCTTCCAGGGAAAGGACACCTATCATCATCTCAAGCAGCAGGTGAAGGAGGGAGTCACTTCACCCTGGTGGGAAAGCAACGTGGGTCCATGAACACTGCTGCTGACCAATGTCAAGGTCAAATAAAACAAGCCAGGAATTGTCTCTGCTCAGTTTTTTAAGTCTCCAGGCTGCATCAGCACCCTTCTTAAAGGGGAGGTGAGAGGGTGAGAGCACAGTCATCATTTTATAACCTGTGGGGTTGGAAGGGACCTCTGGAGATCATCTCCTCCAACCCCCCTGCTCCAGCAGCTCACCCACAGCAGGGTGCCCAGGGTCACAGCCAGGAGGGTTGGGGATCTCTCCAGAGCAGGAGACTCCACAGCCTCTCTGGGCAGCTGCTCCAGGCTCTGCACCCTCACACCAAAGAAGTTTCTCCTCCTGCTCAGGTGGCACCTCCTGGGTTCCAGTTGGTGCCCGTTGCCCCTTGTCCTGTCCCTGGGCACCACTGACCAGAGTCTGGCCCCAGCCTCTTGCCCCCTGGGGCCCTTTAGCTCTTGCTCAGCACTGCTCAGATCCCCTCTGAGGCTTCTCCAGCTGCACAGCCCCAGGGCTCTCAGCCTGTCCTGGCACAGAGATGCTCCAGCCCCTCAGCAGCTCTGTAGCCTCTGCTGGACTCTCTCCAGTAGCTCCTTGTCCTCCTCCAACTGGGAAGCCCAGAACTGGACCCAGTTCTCCAGATATCACAGCACCACCCAGAACAAGCTACTCAGCCAGGATCTCACAGAACCACTTAGGTTGGAAAAGACCTTTAAGATCATTGAATCCAACCCTAAAGCCCAGGGTTGTGCTTTCACCCGTAGTGACCAGGGCAGAGAAATCCTTCAGCCATTTCTACCACCCTGGGCTCCTCTACTCCACCCTGAAGTAGTTTTGCTGCCCAGAGAGAAGACAACAACAGCCCAAATCCTTCTCTTTTTCACTCTCTTATGTCCCAAACACAAATGATGGGATCTGCAGGTCAACGTTTGCTGTGTAGAGGCAGGTGGGGATGGCTTTTGCCAGAGGAACCTATTCTTCAACCAGCCAGGAATACACTCAGGGTTTTACCTGATTAAAAGCTGACTGACACTTCTGGGCCAAGCTGCTAAAGTGAAAACATTTCCCTCCTTGCAAAGTTTATCAGGGCTTAGAGAAATCTTGGTTTGAATTGCTCCGTTCCCTGCCACGGGTGTTACTTAACAGTCTTACTGCCCTATAGATAAACTCCTGCTGGGTTTATCTGCTGAGGGTCAACAGGCTGCTGGAAGAGAGAAGCCTGGCAGATTAGTAAAGCCAAGGGATTACATCAAACAGGATCCAAAGGGCTACACAGCCCAGCCAGGATCTGAGAGCCACAGGAGCCAGGCTGGCTCTGGAGAGGCTGTGGATGGGTAGGAGGGACCCTGCTGCACCTTCCCCCTGGACCTCAGGGGTGAAATAAGGGCCACAAAGAGGCCATGCAGAGTGAGTGTGAAGTTTATGTCCTCCTTGGATGGGAAAGCTTCTCAAGAACCCTCCTGCCAGCCTCTGAGCCAAGCCCTGGAGCTCCAGAGCTCCACAGAGACCTCTCCCAAGGGACACGTGGAGCAGGGCAGCACTTAGGGAAGATGTAAATAGATCTAAAGAGCATTGTTAGGAGTTCCATGCATCTGAGCAGCCCTGGGGAGTCTGCCAGAGAGCACAGGGGCCTCCTGCAGAGCAGGAAGATGGAAACCTGGGTGGATGGAACCCTGGATAGATGGGACCTTGGATGGATGGGACCTTGGATGAATTGAACCCCTGGATAGATGGGACTTTGGATGGATGGGACCTTGGATGAATTGAACCCCTGGATAGATGGGACCTTGGATGGATGGAACCCCTGGATAGATGGGACCTTGGGTGAATTGAACCCCTGGATGGATGGGACCCCTGGATGGATGGGACCCCTGGATGGATGGGACCCCTGGATGGATGGGACCTTGGATGGATGGGACCTTGGATGAATTGAACCCCTGGATAGATGGGACCTTGGATGGATGGGACCCCTGGATAGATGGGACCCCTGGCCAGGGGAAGATCAGAGCATTGAGAAGCAGAGCCAGGAAGCTCTCCTGCTATTTCCCTCCTCCCTCCTCTCCTGCTGCCTCCTTTCCCCGGCTGCTCCAGCGGGTGCTGCCCGCCTGCTGGGGAGGAAGGCTGGAGGTGCTGGCGTGGGTAGGGGGGTGGAAGAGGCCCCCCCAGGAGATGCTCAGCCCCCCTACCTGTGCACGAGCTGCAGGTTCTCCTGCTTGAGGCGGCTGTGCTGCTCCCCATTGGCAGCTGTGTCCTTCTCCAGCTCCGTCACCCGCTTCTCCAGGAACACCACCTGGGGGTGGGAGAGGGGAGATCAGCCACCCGACCTGAAACCCGCTGGGGAGGGGGCACCAAGCGTGGCAATG